GAGGTCGCAAGGCCTGTGCAGTTACGGTCACACTGAACAAAAAACCTCCTTGCGACTTGCAACTGTCACCGGTTGCAGAAAGGTGGGCGACAAGTTGCAACAACTCGCAAAGTGGTCTCCAAATGAACGCTGGGTTACTATCCGGTCGCGCCGGTTTTCGATGCAGCACCGAAAACCTCCTGGCGACCGAAAAGCCTATTTGTGGTATCCAACCGGTTGCTAAAAGGTCGCCGACTGCTTAGCAACTGATTTGCGACCGATTGTGTGGTTTTCCCTTTGTCTTTGTAGCCCCAAGCGTTACACTTACAATACAACATCATTAAATAGTGAAGGATCCTGCGCGTCATCAATTTGTTTCCGTCCTTGTGGTACGAATTCTAAGTACTGGGAGGAAGTTAAAATTTGTATTTATTTGACCTTCTTTATATTGGTGACACTGTTTTATTGTTATAAAAATGCCTGAAAATTAAATTTATTGTAAAAAGTATGAATCAAACTTTGCTATTTACTTTTTTCTCTGCGCCCGCCTATTTGCTTATACCCCCTTTACACTGGACGGCGTCCTTTCTGCGTCCTTTCTGCGACCATGAAATTTGGCATCGCTGTGGTCTTAATAAGGAGGCACGAGCATTAATTTTTTATCAGAATGAATGCTCAATGATCAGCCAGTTGTCGGCACGTAAAATATTATAATTTTTAAACTCTCAAATGGGGCCGGACTGCTGGACGCAGAAAGGACGCCGTCCAGTGTAAAGGGGCCCTTAGTTTTTCTTCCATTGTGACTTGGCAAATTATGACTTGGCAAATTAAAAAAGTAAGATATTTCCGGCTGCTTTAGTCATTAAAAAATGTTTCCAGTAAATTTGACAACAATAGTTGTCAGAAATTAGCCATGATATAGGAATGGATAAAAAGATAACAGTTTATCGTTTACATTGTGATCATCATTATTGATTGTTTTGGCACTTTTGTATTCCACTGATAACTGTATTTAAAAATTATTATCAATAAATATTAAACAAAATTATATATTTATTTCGACTCATTAAATGTTATACTCGGAAGCCAATTGATGCTACAAACTAAATGTTGCACTAAGTAACAAAATATTTAATTATAATACTAATTGTTTTGACGCTTTTGTATTCCACTGATAACTGCATAGAAAAATAATTATCACTTCACGTTAAACAAACTAAATTGTCTTTAACTTTTATTTTGCAAACTTTCAATTTATTTCGACTCAGTAAATTTTATACTTGGAAGCCAATTGATGCTACAAACAAAACGTTGCACTTAATAAAATAATATTTAATTATAAAACTATTCTTATCTTAGACTTTATCAATTACACTGTTTTTATGAGACTGCATTTAGTAACATGATAAATCATCAATAAAAACTCCATGGGTGCCCTGGTGTCAAATGCTGAGAAGTGGACGCGGGAGTAGAAAAAGCAGAAGTGGGTGTTGGGATAGAGGGAATGGTTAAAGCCGAAGTGTTCAATGGAGAAGGAAAAGATGTGTTTACTTGAGGGTGTTGAGGAGTAAACAAAAAATGTAGGCCTGTAACTGAGTTTCGCCTTTTGGTTGCGTGCTTTTAGAATTAAGTCCATGCTCTGTTGTTGAAATATCGCCCACTGTTGCTCAGATAGATTGTCAACTTCCGTAGCTAAATAGGGACTCATACATTTATTTATTTTATTGAAAAAAAAATACTTATGAAAACCTTGTAAATAAATTAAAAAAGATGACAACAAATACAATCTACGTTTTAATTGAGAAATAACGATTTTTGTCAAGATATTTCAGGCCCGTAGCCAGGGGGGGTTCGGGGGGTTCGAAAGAATCACCCTTTTTGCTGGGAAAAGGTCCACTCTGGGTAAAATTTGACCTATGTAATTGAGAATTTTATGGTAAAAGGTCCACTTTTTCAGAAAACGAACCCCCCCCCCCCCTCTGAAATTGCTGGCTACAGGCCTGTATTTAGAAGGCCTTAATGGCATTATATAAATGAAAAAGATATTTAAATATTTATTGGCCACCATCCTACGCTTATTTTATCACGGTTGCTTGCAACCTTCTCGCGACATGTTTTCGAGTGCATGCGAGCTGTAAGAAACCTGTTAGAGACCAAGCGACTAAAGACCGTTAATCGACCATGAAGTTTCAACTGCAACCTGCTGGCGACCTGCTGCCCACCGGTTAGCAACCTGTTTGCAACTAAGCGACTAAAGACCGTCAATCGACCGTGCAGTTACAGGTGGTATGCGACTGGTTTTAGTCTGGTTACAGCGACCTACTGGCAACCAAGAGGATACCTATAGGCAACCTCTCAGTTACCAATCGTTTTCACTATCAGTCGCACTGGTTGTCGGTGCAAAAAAATGGCCTTCGTGTGTCAACGATCGCAGGCGACCTGTTTGCAACCTAATGCGACCACTTTAAAACCTATGGCAACCTTCTTGCGACTGAGGTTGCAAAGAGGTTGCCAAAAGGTTGCAAGCGCAGTGTGACCCAGCCTTTAGATCGGAAAAACCAACCAAGCAAGGAAAACAACAACTTTATTTCTAGGACTAATATAGATTGAATTAATGATTCATTTACCTTTTTATACAGAGTTAGCAATAAAACTTTTTTCCTGTAGTCCATTCCTTATTCAAACACTTAGCACTGGCGCGTCAGCTAAATGAAATTTGAAGTATGTTTTCATGAAATATCTATGGACAATCCAGTTAAATGGTTTTCAATGAAATTGTAAATATGCATTCTTAGAAAAAGTGAATATTTAACAATTTTGCATATGTTGACATACAAAGCTGCTTACTGTAACAATTGGATTGTAGGCGTTACGAATGCTCTATAAAGAGGATAAAGAGTAGCATTTCATTACTAAAGAAAAGTGGCGATAAATAAAATTAGTTTCTAGTTGGTGTTGCTTTATTCTTTCAGTGTGGTACCTGCACAGAGACTACGACAGGTGAGCATTTGATTATGTTAACTAGTAACAAGGTATATATTGCACCTAAATGTAATGTTAAGGTGATATATTCCTTTTAACTTGGACTGCTTACTTGCACTGCCAGGTTCAGACCACGTTCAGACCAAAAATCACAACTCGCATTCCTTGTTTTCAGCATCTACCACCACTGAGACAACTACCACCGATTCTACCACCACTGAGTCAACTACCACCGACACTACCACTGAGTCAACAACCACCGATTCTACCACTACCGAGACAACTACCACCGATTCTACCACTACCGAGACAACTACCACCGATTCTACCACTACCGAGTCAACTACCACCGAATCAACAACCAACGCGCCTACTACCGGTGAGTCTTATATCTTTTTAAGTAATTAAAGCACTTTAATACTACATGTTCATGTACAAAGCGGGAGGCAATTCTTTCAATCAACCATTAAAAAACGCATTATAGTGGGAATCCCCTTGCCTTCTTGTCTTAAAATTACAAATAAGGCGCTTTAATGCGTGTTATTTATATATCAGTTTAAAGACTAAGGAATAAAGAATGATCCATCTTTTTTTTTCAGTGGCGCCCGATATCTGTTTGTCGGATGCTACCCTGATTAAAGTCAGTTCAGGCACGGTGGCAGAGTACTATGTCAGAGTGAATCCCTGCACAGCTTTGTGTAGCAATAAATATTCTACTGGCTTTTGGTCCACTGCACAGACCTACAGAGGTTGCTGTGGTAACAACATATGCTATTGTACTTTAACGTCCGTATCTTATTCTGTAAGTAATTTACCTTTATCATTTACATTTAAAAACTAGTATAATAGAAAATGGACAAGTATATTTAAAAGATGTATATAATGATGATTACTATTTTATAGAACCTGTTTAGAAAAATCAGAGAATAAGATAGTTGATATTGATCACACCACCCATTTTTACAACTCTATAAGCGTCAAAGCTTTGAAGTGAGAAAAGTGCAAACGCCCCATTCTTCCGCTGTTTCCTCTATGTTTAGGTGAATTCAAACTAAATGATTTAAGGAAGCCAAACTTTTAGTGTAGAGAATATTGTATCACATTGATCTTTTATAGCCTTGTCAAGTACTATTCAATAAAGCCATATTTTCTCCTTTTCTTGTTGTAGTTTCAGTTTTTAGTCAGAATTATTAGTTCCCACCCACTCAACCTCTCTTCCTCTTCCTCATCTACCTTTTTCACTCCGACATGAGATATACGGGAAATAGGCCACCTATCTAGATTCTGAATCATTCTGAATTTACTATGAAAAATTTCGTATTTCTATGAAAGTTTTAATTATTTTTTCAGAGTAGTTGCACGTTGATAAATTGATGAAATGCGGAGAAGAAGATTTAAATGGAGTCCCAGAAAGACATTTGCAGTGTTTTTGCTGAATAATCGAAAACAAATACTTTTGATTATCAAGTCAAGCCAAATGGTTATATAAGTTCTTTAAATTAGTATATAAGCCTCACTCATTTGATTGGACTTACTGTTTTCAATGTATCTAGAACCCTCTATATGCCTTCCTTTTTTGCGAGGATCTTCCCAAACTGAATATAGTGTTCAGTTGTTAGTTAAATACATTTTATGAATAATTAAAGTGGCATGTAAGAATGTAAGAATGGTCATTTCTAGAATCGGTTTTAATAGATTAGATTGCAGTTGTAAATCGAAAATAATACATTCTTGTGGGAATATTGATTAGTGGTGTGTAATGTAAAGGGGATTAGCGTATTTAGGCTTAGTGTTAGTCTCCGCGTTTACGTCTGTAGCTTTTCTGTATCGCCGCTTTTGTTTATGAAAAGCAGAGGCTCTTGGTTTGCCTGATATTTTTGAGATTTTGTATTTTACTTTTCACACATAGATTACAAGTAAAAGGCTAATATAAACTCAGATTGGGGTTTTTGTAATCAGTCATATAAAACACACTGTTTTTTTTCTGAATAAATCTCCACCCGGTTAGTTTTATAGGTAACCAGTTTTCGTACCAGTTTTTGAAATCTTTTTCCAGTGTTTTTTAGTGACAGACTAATTTATTTAGGAGGTTTTCACAATATTTCTATTTATATTGCTGTTGCATATTTCATTTATCATAATCTTTTCACCGAATATAGAGACGTATAATTTGTCCGTGAATTAAATACACTTCAATAAGTGGGAAACATGTAGTCGAGGGCACAGGAAACTCAAATAAATTTGTATCAGCTTTTGCTTTTGAACTTTGAAGACAATTGTTTTTCATTTTGAAAGATGTTTTGATCAAATCAGGGCTTGGTTTTAACCGTCGTGATTCTTTACAAATGGCCTAATTTTCACAATTGCCGAGGAGCAGACACGTGTTCATTCAATCTCTTTGAAATATTCAAAGCTGTTCAATAGATCTTTTGCATGGACTGTCAAACATTTCTTCACGTATGAAATTATAATTGAGTAATCAATGAAAACCATGTGGAGTTGCCCACCTTCCAGCGTTGAAGGCATGCCAGCATGTCGCACGTGCCAAGATTCGTTTGATGGCCAGTTTTATTCATCTGGTGGTTCCAGTTCCACCTTGGCTTTGATGCGATTAAGTATTTTGATGGGAAGAATCTTGCTTATGTGACAGATTGAAGCAATGGTGCGATAGAACATTCTATCAGGATTCCAGCTTTGAATAACATTACTTACTATTGCCGTAAGCACCACACTTATGTTGACACAACACTATGACCAAACATGGTCAGGGTACTGCTTATGATATCCTCCATTAGTCAACATTACATATATCTTTATACTTAAATTATATATATGAAATTGATATAAAATTTGCACAAACAGTTTTCTTTGTGTTCGTTAAAATAATAATAATAATAATAATAATAATAATAATAATAATAATAACATTTTTAAAACATACCTATGATGGTTTAGATATAAACATTTTCTACAGAACCTTATAATACTCATTTTAAATCGTTTCAAAGCGTTAAGCGCTATTTGGAAGAAGACCTTTTTGTAATTTGTTGTACACATCTCAATGTTATAGATGATTTCAATATTTGGCATCTTACAACATCTTTAATATCCTACTCAATAACCCATATTTGTCATCAGCAGGTCAAGAGTAAACTCATTTCGCTATGTTCCTGCTCCCATTCCTCGTAACTAAGTTTGTATATCTGTAGATCTCCAGATTAGACGTACATGTAATATATAATCCAGAAATCTTAACTGTCTGAAAAGAAGTCAAAAGAAGACGCTGTGACTGTGGTACTTAAATGGTTGCTACACTCCCAAAGCACAATTTTTGCACAGCTAACACATTTCACCAGTATTGCCACTCATGAGGTATAGTATTCGCATCTCAGCATTAGGGAATCGCCGATGCAGTGACATCCTCACGTTGCTCACTGTTTTAAAAGTGTGTTTTAGCAAAACGTTATAAGTAAGGTTGTGATAAAAGTCACAAGTTTATAGGAAAAATAAGTAAACCATATCATATGAAATAAGTTGTATTTCACATAAGAATATTAATTAGAATAAAAGTAAAGTGTACTGTATGTTATAAAAAAAAACAATTAAGTCAGTCATTCTAGGTTGATATGCAATATGACTGTCAATTCACGGTGGTTTTCATATGATTGAAATGTAAATAAACGATTTAAATTTAATTTGTTCAATAGTAATAGTAATAGTAGTAGATACTGGATTACTTCAGACATAAATATACATAATTTCAGTTTTGGACATGGAACCAGCGTTACTGATCCCGAATAAGCGTTTTTCCTGATGATGCTTGTCGAGAACATTCCTGGTCATATGATATGGTCAAATAAGAATTTCGTATTTTACATGGCCTAGAGAAGTCCTTGAAACCGAATTAAACATTTCTCCACAAGCATCTAATACAACAAATTTGCGGAATACGACTTCTGTAAAAATTGTGCACGTGTCTACGAAATATTCAGAATTTTCATGTTTAAGACATTTGAGTCTGGATACATTAGTTCTATTAATACGTGTACTTGTCAAGGGATTCCCCAAAACTACGTGCTTACAGAAATTCTTAAAGTATCGCAATCTGTATCTACGGGTAAATACGGTAGCTACCTTTATTTTCCATAGAGCAGTCAAATACATTTTGTATAATACATTTATATATTATCAGTTAACAGACCGATGCCTTTCCGTTTCTGTCTGATTCACTGTTTAAGACAACTACTTAGTAAACATATAATTTAGGCCGTCTTCTGGGTCTTCCGGAAGACGGCCAGATTTTCAAGTTTACATTGACGGGTATCTGTCGGAAGACGGTCAAAAATAGAGGATGGATCAACAGAGATAATTGGGAAGACTCTCAGAAAATATCTCTAGATCCGCCCCTGTATTATATTTTGTTGCATTGTTTATTAAGGTTGAAAAAGGTCATAACCTAAAGAGAAGCACTACCCTTCAAATTATAGGGTGTAGATGTTAACTGTCACAATTTTGGTGAGGAGTTCTTTCTACAGGGTAAATGCAAGGAATAAGATAAATGAATATTAAATGCTAGTCACTCAAAAGTTAAATTAAATGGTGACTAGTACGAAACGCAGGGTGTGATGCAATTCAACTTGGCGTAGTTCTCTAATTTGGGCGGTGACCCCCCAATTTTTTTCTTTTTTCAAATTATTCATGCACGATTTTTGAATTCGACCTGCACTTTAGTAAGATTGATCACTCCGGTGATTTTCAAGAGACAATAGGCTTATCGGTTTTCTTTGAAATGTGTTATCAGTATTGCATATAAAATAGTTTCCTCGTTTTCTTTTAGTTAAAGGGATAATAACTCTTCATATGAGGTCTATATTTCACAATAAAAACATTGTGCATAACTCATAGAAATATAATATATTCTGTTTACGACAAAAACAGCAGTTACAGCTATTATTCTATGACTTCTCTCTCCTACTCTCTCCTCTCTCCATCACCTCTAAATATTGCTCTCTCTCTCTCAACATCTTACTCTCCCCTTAGATTTAAGTTTACAGGTTTTTATGCTAAACTTTATCAGTTGAACTGTCCATCACATAACTTAAAAACTGATTGGTTACTTCATACACAAGGCCACCTCTTCCTGGTGGTCACCGTTAATAACTCCCTGTAATCAAGTTCTAACAGATTACTGGCTTCGAAACAAAGGAAATTTGAACTGCAAGGTGTGAAGTATTACCTGAAGATACTTTACAACATGGCTTCCCATGTATGAATTTTATGAAACAATGGCTTCCTTTGATTGAGTTAATACAACAACATGTAGCCTATGAAAGTACTAATTACACTTTTTTCTATACTGTGGTTCCTGACTCATTCCTCCTTTTCATCCAGGAAAATTCATTTTTTGGCCAAAACGAAGAGTTAATATTCCTTTTAATTTTATTTTGTTGCCAGAACATGAGTCGAATTCATTCATTTAAGGCGTACAGGTAGCACAACAAAGCAGTAGTTAATGGTTATATTTTTCAGCGGTAGACAAATATAACTAGAATACTACTGAAATTCAACAGGTGCATACTCCCAGATTATGAAAGGCCCTCAAGTGTTATTTACGGCATGAAAAACATTGACCAACGTTCTTTGAAATGAAACGCGTTTTCTTGGGGTGTATGTTTCATGCATGGGAAAATTCGAATTTGAACTAGAAAAGCACCCAAAGAGCGCGAATCTTCGCTAAGGCAGGCCAATTTTTATCACCAATTAGTTAATTTATTTATTCTGTATCAACCCCAAAAGCTAATCGACTACGCTAACCCATTCTGACATATTTTGAATTTTTTTCAAAATCCATCTATAGATGGGTTGTTTACTAACACAAAGGCAAACAAGTTTCCTTGAATAATAATCGAATGATCAATCGAAATAAAGTTGCAATCCATGCAATATGTTTATTTACAGATCTATAAACATAGGTATGGTGATCATTTAAATATCTATATTAATTGTCAGCAATCTCCGCTTGTATAATTTCAAAAGTGAAGTAATGTTTGACATTCCATTTGAAGATATATTAAATACTTTTAAATACTTCAGATAGAAGGAATGAACACGTGTCTCTTCCTCTGTAAGAGTAAGAATTTAGCCGAATGTGCAGAATAATAACAAGAACTAACTTGATAAAAACATCTTTTGAAATAAAAACAATTGTCTTTGAAGTTCAAAATTAAGAGCTGCTACAATTTTATTTGAGTTATCAGAAAACTCAACACGTTTTACATGAATTTTTTCTTTGCCCATGCGTACATAAGATATATTTCCCACTTACCGGGGGTATTGAAGTGCAGTGCTTGATTAACGGCTCTACAATTTGTGAACAGATTATTATTTACGGAATATGCAACTAAAATGGCCAGATAAAAAGATGTATTGATAAGAACTTCTTAATAATTGATTTATCGAAAAAAAACTGGGAAAACTGCACGTGTCATGGTCGATTCAACATTTTTTGTGTTTTAATTGACTACAAAAACTGAGTTTATAAGATCCTTTTTCTAGTGAACTATAAGTGTAATATCAAAATAAAAAATTGAA